ACCCTGTTGCATCTTCAAAGTGATTGTATTATAATTGAGCAGGATGAAACAGATTGGGGACTATAGGGAGTTTGATACAGACAGACAAACCCCAACTAGCTCCAGAGAAGTGATGTGGATCATCCACGGGCAGCAAGAGGTGACCCAAATCAATTATTCAGCGTTCAATTCAGTAAATATTTATTTAAAGCCTATTAAATCATAGTACCATTCTGGAAACTGGGGGTAAAGCAAGTAATCAAAGTATCTAACTTTATACAGCTTACATTTCAGTTAAGGGAGTCAGGAATAGACTAATATACAAGACATTAGTTGGTGATAAATGCTTTAGAGAAAAATAAGTCCAAGTAAAGCTGATAGGGAGTGCCAGGAAGTAGCAAAGAACTGGTTCATTTATGATAGGAAAGTTTTAGTAATAAGGTCATATTTTTAGAGTCCTGTGTTAGTCAGCTTTTCAATGCTGTTACCAAAACACCTGACACAAGCAACTTACAGAAGGAATGATTTATTTTGGCTCACAGTTTCGGAGGTTTTAGCCAATGGTCAGCTGGCTCCATCACTTTGGGTCTACATTAAGGTAGAAGGGCATGGTAAAGGAAAAGTGCTCATCTCATTGCAACTGGAAAGGAGGGAAGAAAGGAATGGGCCAGGGAGCAGATACACCTTTCCAGATCATGTCCCCAGCAACCTACTTCCTCCAAATAGGCCCTACGTCCTACAGTTTCCGCTGCCTTCCAATAATCCCTTCAAATTATTGATCAAATTATTGATCAATTCAATTATTTATCAATGATTATTCCACCAATGAGGTTAGAATCCTAATGGTCCAGTCATCGCCCAAAAGTCCCACCTCTGAACCTTGCTGCATTGGACATGCTTTCAAGTATATGAATTTGGGGGAGACATTTCAGATCCAATTAATAACAACTCCTGAAGAAAGTCAAGGAGCTAGCAATAATTTAAGGGGCAAGTATTTCAGTTAGAAGGAAAAGTACAAAGATCATTAAACACTAAGGCACTTGGCAATTCTGAAAAATAACGGAGAGGGTAATGAGCTCAGAGTGGAATGGCCAAATGGGAGGGTACTAAGAGATAAAGTTAGAGGTGTCTTAGTGAGGGGAGGGCTGAATATGTAGAACTTAGAGGCTATTGTACACTTTGAAAATCTTTTCATTTAGCTCTTTTCCTTTGTTAGTGGATAGCCATTGATGGACTGTGACCAGAGGATATTTGGCAGAGCAGTTCGAGAAAACTGTCCTGGCAGTAGTCATTCCATCTCAGCAGCAGGAGGGAGTCCAGATGCAAAGTTGGATTCTTTTTCCTGTCTGCAAGTACCAATGAATGAGTTACTAGATTTGTGTTCCTTGTCTCAATTAAGAGCCTTATCCGTGTAATACTAGTCAGAACTTAAGGTTTTTTACAGTCTCAACTCACATCCCTATAGCAAGTGAAACACTAAATTCAATGAACTTTATCACCTAAATATTTTTTCAAATATGTTCTCTCTTCATCCTCACTGTCTCTGAATCATTTATGTACTTACCATTTCTTCTCTGAGCTATAGAATAGCCTATTTCTTTTTTAAAATTAATTAATTTATCCTAATTAGGTATATATAACAACAGAATGCATTTTGATTCATTGTACACAACTGCAGCATAACTTTTCATTTCTCTGATTTTACACAATGTAGTGTCTCATGATATGTGCAGTCACACATGTACCTAGGGTAGCAATGTCCATTTCATTCCACTATCTTTCCTGCCGTTGCCATGCCCATGTACCCTCCTCCTCTCTCCCTCCCCTTTGCCCAATCACAGTTCCTCCATTTTTCCCATCCACCTCACCCACGTCATAGGTCAGCATCCCCTTATCAGAGAGAACATTCAGCCTTAGGTTTTGGGGGGATTGGCTTACTTCTCTTAGCATGATATTCTCCAACTCCACCCACATACCTGCAAATGCCATAATTTTATTCTCTTTTAATCCTGAGTAATATTCCATTGTGTATATATGCCATGATTTCTTTATCTATTCATATATTGAAGGGCATCTAGGTTGGTTCCACAGTTTAGCTATTGTAAATTGAGTTGCTATAACATTAATGTAGCTGCATTTCTATAACATGCTGACTTTAAGTCCTTTGGGTACAAACCAAGGAGGGGATAGCTGAGTCAAATGGTGATTCCGTTCCAAGTTTTCTAAGGAATTTCCATACTCCTTTCCAGTGTGGTTTCACCAATTTGCAGTGTGTGAGTGTGCGTTTTCCCTCACATCCTCACCAACACTTATTGTTGCTCTTGATAATTGCCATTCTGATTGGAGTGAGATGAAATCGCAGAGTAGTTTTGATTTGCATTTACTAGAGATGTTGAACATTTTTTCATATATTTTGTTGATCACTTGTATATCTTCTGAGAAGTGTCTGTTAAGTTCCTTAGCCCATTTATTGATTGGGTTATTTGGGTTTTTGGTATTAAGTTTTTTGAGTTCTCTATATATCCTGAAGATTAGTGCTTATCTGGCATGCGTGTGTCAAAAATTTGCTCCCAAAATGTAGGCTTTCTCTTCACCTCATTGATTGTTTCTTTTGCTGAGGATAAACTTTTTAGTTTGAATTCTTGATTTTATTTCTTGCACTTTAGGAGGCTTATTAAGGAAATTAGGGACAAATACAATGTGATGGAGATTGGGCCTACTTTTTCTTCAATTAGGCACAGGGTCTATGGTCTAATTCCTAGGTCCTTGATCCACTTTGAGTTGAGTTTTGTGCATGGTGAGAGATAGGGGTTTAGTTTCATTTTGCTACATAGGGCTTTTTTATTTTTCTAGCACCATTTGTTGAAGAGGCTATCTTTTCTCTAATCGATGTTTTTGGCATCTTTGTCTATTATGAGATAACTGTATTTATGTGGGGTTTTTCTCTGTGTCTTCTAGAATAGTCTTTCTTATTTCCTAGACTTTTGTTCAGTTATATATAATTCACCCTATCCATGCTTTTAAAATTATAGGTCACAATCTATTAATTTACCATGAAGGTATCATAACTAGTTTTTGGAAATGAAATAACCATTATCACAACATTTAGTCAGCACTATATTGGAGGTTCTAGCCAGTGTGAGAAGGGCAAGAAAAAGAAATAAAACATACAAAAACTTTGGAAGGAAAGAAGTACATTCATCATTATATTCAGGAAACAATATTGAATATGTAGAAAATCCCAAAAAAATTCACGAATTATTAACATTAATAAGTAATTTTGCAAAGCTATTGAATTTAAAGTCCACAGAAAGTTAACAAGTGAAATTTTAAAGCAATATCATTTACATTAGCAAGAAAATATTAAAAACAGATAAATCTAATTAAAGATGTAAAAGACTTCCCTGAAAACTTAAAAACTTTCCTGAGAGAAACTTTTAAAGATCTAAATAAATAGAGATATGCAGATTACATTTGTGGGTTAAAATATTTATAACTATTGAGGTTAGCTCTCCCAAATGTATTCTGAAGATTCAAGGTAATTCCAACCTCAAAACCCCAATAGGGTTTTTATGGAAACAGATTCTCATTCTAAAATTTGTTTAAAAATGTAAAACCCTATAATAACAAAGATAATCTTAAAGAACACAAACTTGGAGGACTTAAACTACATGATTTTAAGAACTCAAGGACCTGGGGATGAAGCTCAGTGGTGTGCTTGCCTAACATGCTTTGAGTTCTAACGATACTTTGAGTTCTATCCCTATCACTGTCAAAAAGAAAAAAGAAAAAGATTTTAAACCAATAAAGCAATAGTAATGAAGAGAATGTGGTATTGATGAAAAGATAAATAGAACAAATAAACTAGTAATTACTTCATAGGAGAATGCAGGTGTGTCTAGTATTAATAAGGAAGGGGAAGACAGTATTGAAGTGTTGGGCATGTTTTATGTCTTGATCCAGAGGTAAATGTATACATTACTGTTTGCATATATAACTTTATAACATGAGCTCTTTAAACTGAACTCTTAAAATCTGGCATAAGATGTTGTGTTCCGCCTCAAAAGAGTTTTTTTTTAATAGGGTGAAATAGAAAACAGAGTGAATTATACATTGCAGGGGCAAATATTATACATTTGTAGATGTGCTTGTATGTCTGTACAGGATCCCCATGTAAAATTACCTTCTTACTAAGAGTCAGTCACTATTAAATGAGCTTAAAACAACACTGCTTTATATAGTTGCCAGAATGAACCTTCTAAAATACGATCTGATTATGTCACTCACCTACTTAGAATCTTTAACTGAGTTCTTTGATACATAATGCTTTGTGCAATCTAGCTCCTGTCTGTATTCCCACTCTTATCTCTCACTTTGCTTTAATGGTTCTCAGTATGCACTATACTTTCCACGGCTTCAGTCTTCATACTCTATATTTTTAACCTGAATTTGATCTCTTCCTCCCCATCCCTATCCTTCTTTACCAATCTTATTCCTGCCTGCTCTTCAAGTCTTATCTATAACATTACTACTCTGAAAGCTTTCCTGCATCTCAGCCACCACCATAATTCCTCTGCAAATTGAACTTAGCCATCCTTCCTTTGTAAATGTAGCATCTTCATGAGACCTCTCATTTCCCCATGGATATTAGCTGAAGTGCATATGTCTTCCATGTCATTGAAGACAGAAGCTGGGTCTCATCCAGCACATGTTTCCAGCACAAAGCACAATATTTGGCACAGGGTAAGCCCCTGGATTTTGAATTATATTGAAAATACTTTGTATTTCTGATATGAGATTTTAATATAATTAGTAAATTGAATTTTCCATGCATTATGTTACATGATTCTGTTTTTAAAATTAACCTCTGATACTTAAACACTTACTCTTCACAAAGAAAAAAAGAAATCCAAATAAATTCATGTTTTTTGACTTCCCTTTGTTTCTATGAGAATATGTCTATTGCAATTTGCTGTGTTGCCTATTACCTATTGAAAGTGGTGTTTGATTTTATACTTTAGCTTCCGAGTTCTGGTGATCTTTGGAGCATTCATGTGGACTTTGACACTAAACGGATGGATCCCTGGGAACGAATTATACCTACTTTCAAGTACAGCCGAGATATTCCGTTTTTTGAAATGCTTGTCCCCACAACAGACACAGTGCGCTTTGGGTATCTAATGGAAAAACTACTTGCAGTCAAACATTCAGTTTTGTTTACTGGAATAACTGGAGTTGGCAAGGTAGGAAACCTAACATCAAAAAAAGTTCTGTTCTAAACATTAAGGCATGGTGAACTTAAGAATTATTCTCACCAGAAATAGCACACATTTCTCAGGGGAAATTTTTTAAAATTTTGTTATGTTTTCAGGAAGTCTATGGCTGTACTAAATCTATACTGACCCTAGGAATTATTTCAGAGTTTGCCAGTTTCTGAATAAATCCTTGGGCTGATATTATGTAAACCATAGTAGATTTTCAGGCCAGAGTTTGTGTTTAGGGTCTTTATTATTCTATCTGTTGGTATTCGTGGGACTGCTACTGCACTGATTGGGTAAGAATTGTCCAAAATAGTTTTTGTCCTCAAAGCACTATTGATGAAATTCAGTTGGTTCCCTCTTGCCTGTTTACTTCTACCTGATATGACAATAACATTATTTTCATGTTTTTTTTTTTTAAGTAAGGTAATAGGAGGATTCTGATTGCTTGATCTTTATTTTGGAAGATTCCACATATGCGGTGGTTCATTATTTCCCATCTAAATTATTTCCAAAAGAAGTTTAAATCTTCCTGTAACTCTCATTGTCAAATTGTCTTGTATAATAACCAAGATGGCTTTGGGTAGGCAGCTAAAATAAGATTATTTTTCTGAGATAGAGCTGATTAGAGTATTTTTTTTTGGTTTGGATTAGTATAACTAAATAATAGAGAACATTTCAATCTGGACTTAACTTCTCTCTTATATTATTTCTTACTCAGTGCACAGGATACTAATATAGGTTATTGAAAAATATGTTATGTTGAATGTGAGCTTAACAAACTGATTTTTTAAATCTAAAGACCGTTATTGCCAAAGGATTGCTAACTAGAATTCAGGAATCTGCTGGCTATGTCCCTGTTTATCTAAATTTTTCTGCCCAAACTTCATCTGCAAGGACACAAGAGATCATTGAATCAAAACTGGAAAAAAAAAGAAAAAAATATTCTAGGTAAGAACTGTCATTTTAATTTGTTCTATATAAACTACTCACTAAGCCAATAAATTATATAAACACCACAAATAGTAAAGGAAAATTGGATATTTTCTTACATTATTTGTAAAGATGTGCCTTGGTTTGATTTTTGTTGCAACACTAAAATACCTGAGATTGGTTACTTTACAAAGAAGAGAGAGGTTTATTTAGCCCACAGTTATAGATGTCCAAGAGCATGAGGCCCTCATCAGCTTCTGGTGAGGGCCTCAAGGTGGACAGCATCACTTGGCAGAAACACATATGTGAGAGAGAGGTCACATGATGAGAGAGAAAGAAAGTGAACAAGAACTTACAACCCACTCTCATGGTGATCAATGAAGTACCTTGAGAGTAAGAACTCACTCCCACAAGAAAACATAAATCCCTCATAAAGGTCTCAGTACTTCTAAACACTATTGGAGTCCAAGCCTCAACGTGAGTTTTGGTGGAGACAAAGCATATTTAAACCAAAGCAAGGTGATTCTATTAGTGATATTTTTCCTGTACCCGATATCTAGATATCTTTCTGTTATAAGCAAGCCATTTATTTCTACCATCCCCTTAAAACCAGAACATCTTCAGTCTTTGCTTCTTCATGGCTCTCACTCGATCCACCCAGGCTTGAATTGATTTCACTTTCTTTAAAATCAACAACTCTGATTTTACCTAGCACACTGAGTTTCTGAACTCAGTGGGGAATAAACATGAAACTATTTGGGTTTTTGCATCAGTCAGCATTTTAAGTCAGGGATCTCCTTTACCCACCCTTATTAATTATTTAAGATAAATAGCTCTGGTCACCTTCAGATGTTTTGAGTCTGGGCCAATGTAAAACTTTAATCCCCAAACCTAATTTGAAGTTCCCCTTATCTTCTGTCATAAGCCAGCTTTGTGGTTCCAGGTACTGGAGATAGAGGGGGAAATGGGATATTCTTTACCTCCATCCCATGCCCATTCCACATAGGAAAAACTGATATGTTGGGATGGGAAAAGAAGAAAGCACAAGTGTCTTCCCCCTGACCGATAGTTAAATAGGCATGTGGGCATGTAGATGATCCCTGCTTCTCTGGCTGGTGCTGAATGACTGCCCAACCTGTCTGAGAGGCACTTTCAGGATTAGGCTCTTGTGAGGGACTCCTATAAGGTCTGTCCTCATTTTAGGCATTAAGCCTCCCCTTTGGAAGATTCCCTGAGGTTGGGAATCAGGGTCTCAACCTTCATTCAGTTTCATCCTCCAGCCTCTTGCTGCTAGAGTTCACCTGCCCAACCTACAGCCCTTCTGGGTGGGTTACCAGTCAGAACTCAGGTCCAGCTGCTTTGTACAGTATACAGCATCTAATAGGCTCTGTTATGCCAAACACTGGAGTTGCTTACTGCCTCACAGCTTTCTTTTACCTGCTCAGTTAGACAAAGGACATTGGTCTATTTTCTGATGAGGGATCCAGATTTTTAAAAATGATTCCCTTACATCCTTTCCAAATCCTGGTTCATGCTTCTCAGCTTTCAGGAACCAGAGGATAGAGTAAAATTCTGAGTTATTCTCAGTTACCTTGGAATTACCATCCAACATTAATACCAACCAAAGAGAAATGGCTATTTGTCCTTTAGTCTTAAGCACTGGGTACCGAATAGGTGAAGTCACCTCCTATTCTTCAGTTGCTACTTTTACTCTGCTATCACTAATTATTTTTTCTGATGAGTATATGTATTGGTTTTCTTTAAATGTGGCATTGTGTATATCCACAATCCTGGATTTCGCTTTGATTTCCCTTTGATGCAATGGGAATGCTTTTGAATTTTGAACTGTTTTCCATGTGAGGGCGATGAGATGGCATTTTTGAAAGAGAACCTTTAGCTTTCCACACCCATGCCCTGGCCCCATAATTAGTGAGGGCACTGATGTGCTGAGACTTGAGAATGGTCCAGACCTCACTAGAGAGCTACCAGTATTATGGGCTCTGAGAGTAAGGGTGAGGAACAACCTGACATAACAATGTGGGCCTCGGAGCCAGATCTACATCTAGCTGAAGGGCCTGTATGGGGACAGAAGGAGATATGTCTCCTTGGAGTGGGACTCTGCTAGGTCTCTCCTCACTCTTGAGAAAAGAATTAAACTCAGTATGACTCGCAAGTCAGTATGACTCTCATTGAGTGCAAAGCCATACCTATGCTTTCTTTCTTTTTTTTTTAGTCCATTATCATAACAGAATATCTGAGACTGACAAATTTATAAAGAGAAAGGTTTTTTAGCTCCAAGTCTTGGAAGTTCAGGAGCGTGGTGCTGGCAGCTGCTCAGCTTCTGGTGAGGGCCTCATACAGGTCAATTCTTGGCAGAAAGCAAAAGAGCAATCAAGCACATGCAAAAGATAGAAAAGAGGGCCAACCTCCTATAATATAAACCCATTTATATAATAAAAACATTAATCCACTCCTGAGGGAAGATCCTTCATGACCTCAGATGCCTCTTAAAGGCTTCATCACCTCTTAACATCATGTTATCAGTATATTAGGAACAAAGCCACAACATGAGTTTGGGTGGGAACAAACCACAGTAGTTTTGTTCTGTACTTTCTAAGAAAAAAAAAATTTAATTACTAAATTGAATTTGTTTTCCCAGGGGCACCAGGAAATAAGCAAGTTATAATTTTTGTTGACGACTTAAATATGCCTAGACTGGATCGCTATGGCTCTCAGCCTCCCATTGAATTACTTCGCCAGTATCAAGATTTTGGTGGATTTTATGACAGAAACAAACTCTTTTGGAAAGATATACAGGTTACTTTAGGTTTTAAATCATTACTTAATGTGTTCAAATTTAAATGGCAAGGAAATATGTGGTACATTAATTTTATGTAATTGCCATAACAGACCATAGACTGGGTAGTATAAACAACCTATTTTCTCATAATTCTGAAGACTGGAAGTCCAAAGTCAAGGTATCAGCAGGATCAATTTCTTCTGAAACCTCCATCCTTAACTAGTAGATGGCCAACTTCCCCCTGTGTCTTTCCATGGGTATATTAATTTGCTTTCTGTTGCTTATAACAATACCACAGATTGGGTAAGTTCTAAAGAAAAGAGGTTTATTTTGGCTCATGGCTCTGATTCAGAAGTAAGGGGCCATATCTAGTGATGGCCTTCTTAATGGCAGAGTTCTGGGACAATGCAGGGCATTGCTTTAGCATGACACAGGGAATACATGTGTGTGTGTGTCATCTCTCTTCCCCCTCTTCTTATAAAGCCACAAATATTCAATCATGTGGGCTCCACCCTTTGACATTATCTGCTTTTAATCACCTCCCAAAAGGCCCACATCTAAACATCATAGTTAGATTGAATTTCTGCCCTCTTAATTCCTTATAGTGGGGGAATACTTCCAACATGAGTTTTGGTAGAAAAAGACAATATTCAAACCATTTCATTTCTTGTCTGGCCCCTGAAACTCAAGTCCTTCTTATATACACCATACTAATAATTCATTCCACCCAAAAAATCCCAGAACCTTAATTCATTCCAGCATTAATCACAAGCCCAAATTCTCATCTGAGATTCAATGCAAACTGCTTCCAGCTGTGAGTCTGTAAAACCAAAGCTGTCTACAAAGGTGGGATAGGCACACAGTATACATTTCCATTCTGAAAGGAAGGAGTAATCAGCCCAAAGCAAGTCTGAAACCTAGCCAGGGCTGGCATTAAATCTTACTGCTTCAATTCTGGCATCCTGTGTATACCATGGGGCTGCAAAGCCTCAGGAAGCCCCAGCTACACAATTTGCTGGTTTTGTCCCACATAGTTGCTTTCTTGGGCTGCAAGTTGATGGCCACAGCTTACCTAAGCTGGTATTGCACACTGCTCGTAGCTAGTCACTTCCTGGTGTCTCAGCTGAGGCTCTACTCCCATGGCTTCATTAAGCATTGCTCCACTGGCAACTCTCTGTGGTGGCTCCCCTCACAGCACACTTCTGCCTGGCTTCCCTGATTTTCTTTGACATCTTGGTGGAAGCTGCCATGACCCCATCACTCTTTCATTCTGTGCACAAGCACTGTGTGAATGCTGCCAAGGTCTGCCATGTGCTAAGCAGTGTCTAGGCCTACTTGAATCATAGCCACAGTCTCTGTGGGGTGCTTTTCTGGAAAACAAGGAACATAATCCTGTAGAGTCCCTGAGTAGCCCATGAATAGTACCCCGGGCTCCTACTTCAACCAAGTCTAGAAAGCTTCTAGGCCTGTGATGGGAGAGGCAGCCCTGTAGACTTCTGAGATGTTTTCTAGGCCTTTTTCTCATCTCTTTTTTTTTATTGGTTGTTCAAAACATTACAAAGCTCATGATATATCATCTTTCATACATTTGACTTAATTGGGTTATGAACTCCCATTTTTACCCCAAATACAAATTGCAGAATCACATCGGTTACACACTCACATTTTTACATAATGGCATATTAGTGACTGTTACATTCTGCTACCTTTCCTTTCCCCTACTATCCCCCCTCCCCTCCCCTCCCATCATCCCTCTCTACCTCATCTGCTGTTGTTCAATTCTCTCCCTTGTTCCCCCCCCCTTTCCCCTCACATCCTCTTCTATGTAATTTTGTGTAACATTGAGGGTCTCCTACCATTTCCATATGCTTTCCCTTCTCTCTCCCTTTCTCTCCCCCCACTCGTCTTTGTTTAATGTTAATCTTTTCCTCATGCTCTTCCTCCCTGTTCTGTTCTTAGTTGCTCTCTTTATATCAAAGAAGATATTTGGCATTTGTTTTTTAAGGATTGGCTAGCTTCGCTTAGCATAATCTGCTCTAATGCCATCCATTTCCCTGCAAATTCTATGATTTTGTCATTTTTTATTGCTGCGTAATACTCCATTGTGTATAGATGCCACATTTTTTTATCCATTCATCTATTGAAGGGCATCTAGGTTGGTTCCACGGTCTAGCTATTGTGAATTGTGCCGCTATGATCATTGATGTGGCAGTATCCCTATAGTACGCCCTTTTAAGATCATCAGGGACTAGTCCGAGGAGGGCGATAGCTGGGTCAAATGGTGGATCCATTCCCAGCTTTCCCAGGTATCTCCATACTGCTTTCCAAATTGGCCTTACCAATTTGCAGTCGCACCAGCAGTGTACAAGTGTACCCTTTTCCCCACATCCTCGCCAACACTTATTGTTGTTTGACTTCATAATGGCTGCCAATCTTACTGGAGTGAGATGGTATCTTAGGGGGGTTTTGATTTGCATTTCTCTGACTGCTAGAGATGGTGAGCATTTTTTCATGTACTTGTTGATTGATTGTATGTCCTCCTCTGTGAAGTGTCTATTCAGGTCCTTGGCCCATTTGTTGATTGGGTTATTCGTTTTCTTATTATTTAATTTTTTGAGTTCTTTGTATACTCTGGATATTAGGGCTCTATCTGAAGTGTGAGGAGTAAAGATTTGCTCCCAGGATGTAGGCTCCCTATTTACCTCTCTTATTGTTTCTTTTGCTGAGAAAAAACTTTTTAGTTTGAGTAAGTCCCATTTGTTGATTCTAGTTATTAACTCTTGTGCTATGGGTGTCCTATTGAGGAATTTGGAGCCCAACCCCACAGTATGTAGATCATAGCCAACTTTTTCTTCTATGAGATGCTGTGTCTCTGATTTGATATCTAGCTCCTTGATCCATTTTGAGTTAACTTTTGTGCATGGCGAGAGAAAGGGATTCAGTTTCATTTTGTTGCAAATGGATTTCCAATTTTCCCAGCACCATTTGTTGAAGATGCTATCCTTCCTCCATTGCATGCTTTTAGCTCCTTTATCAAATATAAGAAAGTTGTAATTTTGTGGATTGGTTTCTGTGTCCTCTATTCTATACCATTGGTCCACCTGCCTGTTTTGGTACCAGTACCATGCTGTTTTTGTTACTATTGCTTTGTAGTACAGTTTGAACTCTGGTATCGCTATACCTCCAGATTCACACTTCCTGCTTAGAATTGCTTTTGCTATTCTGGGTCTTTTGTTTTTCCATATGAATTTCATGATTGCTTTATCTATTTGTACAAGAAATGCCATTGGGATTTTAATTGGCATCGCATTGAACCTGTAAAGAACTTTGG